ATGACAACTGCTACTGACTGGCTCTTTTCACCTGTGAATTGTGCACACAGCCTGCCTATGCTAAATCATTCTATTATTACCGTTACTCCATCCTCCCCTGCCCCTTAGCCACATCCACTGGTCTGGTTCACCCAGCTGCTACTCCGTGTTGTTTAAATTGTGAGCTCTTTGGGGCAGGAATTGTCACTTATGCTATAGGACCTCAGTGTGACCAGAACATGTTGCAAGTCAATTAATAATAATTTTTAAAATACTCCAGTGACGGTACAAAACGCTACAGCTTGAACGAGTGTGAATAGAGTATGAATATTACTCTAAAAATAAAACTAATTTCCACTGTTTCGTTTATGGGTCTTTCACAAAATACAATAGAGGCAGCTGATGTGCATCCAAGCTGGATAGCAGTTGGTCTTTCCCCCTTTTTATTATTAAAAATAAACCAGCCTAATTTTTGTATTTTGAAATATTTATCAACAAAGACTTTAAAAACTAAGGCCCAAGATTTTCAAAAATAGGTTCCAAAAGTTAAGGTCCTAAGGCCAAAGTTAGGCACATAAATAAGGGGCTGATTTTCAAACATGCTGAGCACTCAGCAGTTCTGCCATTGACTTCAATTGGAATTGCTGGGTACTTGGCCCTTTTAAAAATCTGGTCACTTATTTAGATGCTTTAAATGTGGATTTAGGAGCTTAACTTTAGGTTCTTATTTTGAAAAATCTTGGGCCCTGGGCCTGTCTGCTCTGGGAAGCTACTGAAGATCTCATAGCACTGGCGATGTTTGCTTTAGTGGCCTTGCCCAAAATTTGCCCTCTCTCGACACTTTTCAATGTGCTGTGTGCTCCCTGGTTGCCATCTTCCTTCCCCAGAGCTGGCTGCAGTTCAGTGTTGCTGTACATACATGGAGCCAGACTGTGTCCTGGCTAATACACCTGCACACAGGAGTAAGGAGCCTATGGCACCCTTTTTTCCCCGTGCCAGCTGTATATTCCACAGGGAGTAGCACAGAAGGGAGAGTAGCCTACCTGGACTATGTTCCCTCCCCTGCACGTGGGATAGGAGTAGTCGGAAAGGGCTAGGCAATGGGGGGAGATGTGCTGGCCAACACAGCTGCAGTGGTGCACTTAGGGGAGCATGCTGTGCCAGGTATGGCGCTCATGTAGGGTAAAAGGGAACTGAGAATCTGAGCCAAAATCAGGTCTCATGCTGCCCCATCCCTGGGGCTCACGGCAAAGCCACACTTCACTCCATCGTGTGTGAGATCCTTAAGAATGGAAGCTCCCATAGTAAGAGATTGCAACTCACATAATTTGGCCAGTTATTATGTGAGTTGAGTCATGGAGGTAGTGCTGAGATCCAACTTAGATCCTGGGAATTGCTGAGGGCTCTAACATTTCATCAAAGCCAATGGGATTCTAGGGAGCTCAGCATCTTGCAGGGCCCTAATCTAGTGTTTGGGGGACAAATCGGAACTAGGGTTGGCCATGATTGCATGAACGCCTTGCAAAGGGGTGTCAGGCAATTTCAGCCATACATACCAAAATCTCTCTTGTGAGATCAGGATTTACCAACATTCTACAGCTTGAAGTGAAGGCATGGATTTGGATTCAGGGATCTGAATCATAATCACCAGCATCACTTCCAAATTGGAAGAGTTGTATGTTCAAGGTTCCAGTTTTAACTTATCTCTGGTTATAACACCGTCTTCGGTGCTGAATGATATAGTGCAGAAGCAGGCTCCTCTGTGGCAAACAGAGCACAGCTGCAATGACTTCTGACAGTCTGCACCTTTAAATGGATGTTTTTTATGACACTGGCATATACAGCCCTGTAGTAGATAAGGGGTTAAGTCTATTAACTTTGCCAATGGGGCTGCGTAACTGATCACTTCTCCGCAGTCACACCAGGCTTCTCCCTTTACAGATTTAAGTCCTGGTTGATGTTGTGGGGAGAGGAAAGGTGATATATCTTTAAAAAGGGAGATGAGATCATCTTCCTTTTATAGAATCTGAGATCATTTGAAAGCAACACAGCAGTAGTCTGGGTGTGCTTCTCCTTGGGCATGAAAAGACCACTCTCTAGGAATATCTGCCCAGCTGAAAGGGAGCATATATTAATCAGGCTTTATCTTAGTATCTGAACCCTAGACTTTTTTTTTTCTTGCAGGGAATTGAGGGTTTGGTGGTGGGTGTATTATTTTTTCTGCTGACATAATTCTGTCCATCAGAGTGACAGCCAGGGCCTCTTTTTTTTCCCCTCTGTGTATGACTGAGAAATCATTATAGCACTTTTAATCTCATCTCAAAAGAGGAAAAGCCTTTTCAGTTGTCACGAAGCTATTATTAGTCATCAGAATGAAGCACTGAGGCCTGCTGAGAACAGTACCGCACTCTACTATTCATTTTCAGATGGGCAGAGTCTGTTTCTTTAACTTGGGTGTAGTGTGCTGGAAAGATTCAATACTGATCCTGAAAAAGACTGTGCACATGCACACACAGATCTGTTCTATATTTGTACAGCACCTAGCACAATGCTGCACGACTAGGGCTCCTTGAAGTTACTGCAGTGCAAAATAATAATAGCATCAGATCTGTCACAGATCAGCTTAATATTTTGTATCATATACAAATGGAATATGTTCTATATGAAACAGTGTAGGTTTAATTCTTCTCTTGCTGGTTTTATAGAGTTGTAACTCCATTGCCCTCCATGGAGAACTCTAAGAAAAGGAGTACTTGTGGCACCTTAGAGACTAACCAAGTTATTTGAGCATAAGCTTTCGTGAGCTACAGCTCACTTCATCGGATGCTGTAGCTCACGAAAGCTTATGCTCAAATAACTTGGTTAGTCTCTAAGGTGCCACAAGTACTCCTTTTCTTTTTGCAAATACGGACTAACACAGCTGTTACTCTGAAACCTGTCATGGAGAACTCCTGATTTACGCTAGTGTAAGAGGAGAGTCAGGCCCCTAGACTCTAAAGTACTTTACCAAGGTGGGCAAGCGTCCTCAACTCCATTTAGCTGATGGGGAAACTGAAGGACAAAGAAGTGAAGTGACTTGACTAACATCATACATTGACTCAGTGACACTGAGTCAAGCATAGATCCCAGATCTCCTGACTCTCACTCCAATGCCCAGGTCACTGGACCTTGCTGCCTCCCATCAACAGGTAAAAATAGGATTTGTACATAGAACTGTAAACATTCCTCTAAATTAGTAATCAAAGACAGAGAGGTAAAAATGTGGTATAGGCAGGGATGCGTACTATTTATGATAAAGGAAGTGGGAGAAGCACTGATCTATCATTTAATTATCAGGTTCTTGTTAGAGCTGGGTGCAATTTTACACCCCCTCCCCCCCCCAAAAAAGGGCAGAGTTCAGTTGACGGAAACATTTGTGTTGAATCCACCAAACTGTTTTGGTCAAACTCCCCTCCCAAAAAACAAGTTCCAAGAAATGAAGTGTTTCAGTTTTTGATTCAAAATGACTTTTTGTATAGAAATTTCCTTCAATTTTATTTATAAAAATAAAGTCTTTAAAAAGCTCAGTCTAAACAAAATGTTTCATTTCAGGTCACACTAAACATTTTGTCTGACTCAACATGAATTTAAAAAAAAAAAAAAAAAGCTTTTTGGTTTAAAAAAAAAAATTTTGCTTCAGTGCTGGTGAACAAAAAAACAAACAATTATTTGCACAGCTCTTATTCTGGAACTGACTTGTCCTTATCCAGCGATGGAAGATTTTGAAACTAAGTAGCTGGCCACCATGTATAAGGAGTTATTTATATTTATCATAAGTGAGGTCAGTCTATAATAACGAGAAATTTCATTATGCTTTGATGCCCTGATTTAGCAAAACATTTAAGCATGTGCTTAACTTTCAGCATGTGCTTAAGTGCTTTGCTAAACAGGGACCTGAGATCTGAAGAAATGTGTACATACAGCAAATGTTGTTATGTGTAGACACCACACTATCAGGACATACTCTACTGTCAGAAGTTATCAGTATTTAATATGCCGGATTTTGATAATGACTGGAAAACAGAAGACAGTGTGTCCACATGAAGTACTATTTTACATTTTTAGAGCACCATCTCTTTTGAAGACTCTCAAAACACTTTACAAACTATGGACCTAGTTCGGCAATCCACAAGAGTAGTCAGCGGGACCACTTGTGCCAGTAAAAGTGACTACCCCTAGATATCTAGCACCACTGAAGCGCAGCCAGCTCTGTGGCAGTGGAAAGGGGCATCCAAATGGACTATTCCACTGAGTTTATTAGAAAGCACATCAAAAACTGAGGCTACTGTGATTTATGCTAGGAAATATGAAGCAGAAACAGGCTGAGAGAAATAATGTCACTTAGCTTTCAAAACCTCTCTCTGGGCATTTGTGTGTGTGAGAGTTTGATTTATGAATATATTTGGTAGAGTTTTATGGCAGCACAGATTATCACTGTCAAGGTTCCTTCCCCACTCTGAACTCTAGGGTACAGATGTGGGGACCTGCATGAAAACCTCCTAAGCTTACTTTTACCAGCTTAGATTAAAACTTCCCCAAGGTACAAATTATTTTACCCTTGGATTTCCACTCCCACCACCAAACTTTATCTGGGTTTACTAGGAAACATGGTTTGGACACGTCTTTCCCCCCCAAATCCTCCCAACCCTTGCACCCCACTTCCTGGGGAAGGTTTGGTAAAAATCCTCAGCAATTTGCATAGGTGACCACAGACCCAAACCCTTGGATCTTAGGGCAATGAAAAAGCATTCAGTTTTCTTACAAGAAGACTTTTAATAGAAGTAAAGGAATCACCTCTGTAAAATCAGGATGGTAAATATCTTACAGGGTAATTAGATTCAAAACATAGAGAATCCCTCTAGGCAAAACCTTAAGTTACAAAAAAGACACACAGACAGGAATATTCATTCTATTCAGCACAGCTATTTTCTCAGCCATTTCAAGAAATCATAATCTAACACATACCTAGCTAGATTACTTACTAAGTTCTAAGACTCCGTTCCTGTTCTGTCTCCGGCAAAAGCATCATACAAACAGACAGACACAGACCCTTTGTTTTTCTCCCTCCTCCCAGCTTTTGAAAGTATCTTGTCTCCTCATTGGTCATTTTAGTCAGGTGTCACCGAGGTGACCTTTAGCTTCTTAACCCTTTACAGGTAAGAGGATTTTTCCTCTGGCCAGGAGGGATTTTAAAGGGGTTCACCCTTCCCTTTATATTTATGACAATCACAGTATAGAGTTACTAGATAGCCAGTCCTGTTAGAAATAACCTGGTGAAGAACATCACGAAGGAATGTGAGCTTAGTTTCTGAAATACTGTATTGTCCTATAACTGCCTTTTCAATTCCCACTTTATATAAGCCCCTTGGAAAATCAGCTGTGAAATTTCACTCAGTGTTCATTGACAACCAGAAACAGGCACTTTGGATGCTATAAAGAGCAGTTAATCTATTTAAGAGGATTATATTAATGATTTATAATACATAATAACACAGGGACAGATCCTCAGCTGCTGTAAATTAGCATTGCTCCATTGACATCAGTGGTGTTTTGCCATGAATTTACAATACAGCACTAGCTAATTACCTGCCAAGTCTTTGTATGCATTTGAAAGAGGCTTGGCGAGTGGACACAGCATCTGAAGTCAACATTGTGCAGGGGCCTAATGCTTGTATTTAGAAACATTAACTCTTCCAGACAGGAAACTATTTTTCTCCCTTAAATTTTCACAATAAGCTAGCAAGATTCAAGATATATATATTTTGCATTGTGAATTTGACACTGATAAAACTTCAGGGACTTCTCTGAATAGCTAGGACTAGACAAAAGATTGAGCATGGGATGTGAAAGCTTCCCTATTATATCTGCTGAGTGCCCCTCATTCCTGACATGTAACCCCCCCTATTCTAGTCCAGGGATTCTCTGGAAGAGAAGTCAATAATCATGCCAGTTGCAGGGTGGTTTTGTAATACAGACAGACATCTGCAAAGAAACAGGAGAAGAGCCCTGGAGTTGTTCTCACATTTAAAACTTAGGAGTTGAATTTATGTCTGGAGGCAAAAAAGCTGCCACATTAACGGACTGCATCATCTATCCTTATTAGTAATGCTTTCTGAATTATTCCACCTGTTGAATTTAGATTGATCGTGCTTGGCTGATCCACATCAAATGTGCCAAAAACATCCGATACACTGTATCAGAAAAAAAATCCCTTAGCCCTTCTGTCCAGGATCAATGAAAAAAAAAATCCACTTGAATCTAACAGATCTGAGGAGCACTTTTTTTTTTGCTCATGTAAAATATTGGGATAAGAAAGGACAACACTGAAGAAAGCACCATTTTGTTCATGGGAAAAAAGCCTGAGCAGCTCCACTCATCTGAATGCACTGAGGATTTAAACCTCCCCCTTTTCCAAGAACCTGTGTGCAGCAAAGGCAAGGCACAACACCAGCTTCCTTACTCAGTACCCGTAATACATGGAGATAGAGCTAAGCTGCCAAGTTTAGATCCAGATCTAAGTTACCCCCAAATTCAGGAGTGTTCAGATCTGGGGGGCAGCGGGGGGAGGTTATTTGGGCTCATCATTACTAACATTAGTTCATGTTTATTTTGCTTTAGGCATTAATCTTGTGAAAACAAACACTGCAGCCGTGGGGAAAACTACATAAAGGGATGACAAATTCCTCACAAGCAATGGACAGAACAGGATAACACCTTCTAGCCCAGCATTCTCCAGCCTCTCCTATTTTAGAGTTTCAACACAGTCCTAAAGATAAGGGAAACACATAGCACACATGGTTGGATTAGAGGACAGTCTCCTCCATGTAGAAAGGTCCAGACTTCACCTCTCATAACTGTCAGGGGCCCAATCCCAAGTCATCTCTCTGAGTATATGAGGGGCCCAAAGAATCTCAAAACCTGCGTGGGCTGAGAAGCGAAGGAGACAGGCAAAGGGCTAGTGATGCCACACATGCGTGGGGGCTCCGAACTCCCATATGTTCTGCAGAGGAGATTGCTACAGCTGCCCGTGCAGCTCTCACTGTGGCAGGTGAAGGTGTGGCCCGCGGGTCCAAGCACAGCCCACATCCGTGTGATCACAAACCCCCACAGGAGGAAAGCATGAGGTTATGTCCCTGTTTTCACTCTCCTTCATCTCCAAGGCAACTCAGGTGTATTGGACCTTGCTCCCCATTTGAGAGCTAGAATTCTGTTTCTCCAGATCTGTCGGAGATGTTCACCCCACAGCAGCTCTAACGGGGTTAAGAGGGCACAGAAGAAGCCAATTAACTTTCACAGTTGCACCTGAAGGGAGCCCCAGGGATTTATAGATACCAATGGTTGATGAAGCCCAGCTGAGGGAGAAGCTGGGTAAGGAATATAAAGAGAGGAGCTTTGTAACATTATGGGGAGAGTCTATAGGCACTTGCTAGGAGTGGTGTAGGGGGAAACTGGAGCGTGCGTGCTCGATCCTAGCCCTGAAAGAAGTGTTGACCAGAGGGGAGGTGTGAAGAAAGCAAGCCTGAGAAGGCTAGGTAGGAAGAAGACTAGGGGAAAAACAGCAGTAAGGAGGGGGACTGTGTACTCTAGGGTCCCTGGGCTGGAATCTAGTGTAAAAGAAGGGCCTTGGTTTCCCTACTGGGCAGTGGCACCTCCCAGTCCTGTGCCATCTGGACAAGGGGTTTAGTGAGACTTTGATACCCTGGAAGAGGGGACCATATAGTGACCTAACTGAGTCGGGGAGAGGGAGCACTGATAATTACAGGAAAAGACCACTGCACCAACAGAGGGACTATTGGCAAGGGTACCATATGGGAAGGATGCTGCTACTCCAAGCCTAGGTAGGAGCAGGTGCTATTGCAGTGAATGAATCCCCTTACAAGCTCCTTCCATGCAATATGTACATAGAATATAAAATCCAAGGCTAATATAAAAAGATACCCTTAGAAGACAGTAGTACAGTATAATAAAACTTTTAAGTGTATGTGATGTCCTTTATCTTGAATGATCCCAAAGCCCTTTGTGTACAGAACCCACTAAAATGCTAACTAGCCAGTGCTCAGTACTCTGCACAACACTGAAGATGAGGGTAAACCTTATCTATTGTTAATGTCCACGCACAATAGAATGGACCTTGTATTTTAAGGACTCTTGATCTGTGGATGGGTATGGCAAGGTGTACTACCCCTTTAAGGAACAGCCTGGAGCTTATGGCTGAGACAGCCTGGGTGCGATCAAGGATCCCTGACCTGAGGTGGGCCATTTAAATAGGAAGAGACAGCTGAGCAAGAGTGTTAGAAGCCTGGCTGTAGATCACTAGTCTGATGTGGGACCTAGAGATAGTTTATAAAACCCTTACCTCAGAGCAACCAGACTTATAACCCAAAAAACAAAGTTAAATAACTGTTCTGCTGATATCTCAGGGAAAGGGAGAAAGCAAGCCTGCCTACCAACCAGAACAATATAAGTACTAGAGAAAGCTGAGTGAGAACACATTACTGGTGGGGAGAACAATGCAAGATGGATTCCCAGCAGAGGTGGGTTTGGCGGAAGAGGGAGATCATGGTGTGCAAAAGAGGTCCTCACCAATCCAAACAGAGGGTAGAAGGTCAAAAGCTGAGATTGAAAGGAAGAGAGCAATGAGCAAAAGGGCTTGAGAGATGCCTAGGGAGTGAGTTGGGGAGCAGGAGAAAAGGAGAGCAGAGATGAGGTCACTGATTTTTAAGGCACTTCCCCATAGATTCTATCTCAGAATGGTAGGAGACAGAGAGAGGTAATAAATGCATAAGCCAGCTGTGAATATCACACACTACGAACTTTTTTATGATTTAAAATAGCATTTTATAGCAAACACTTATAGAAGGTGAAAACACTAGAAAGTACATTTTATGTTACTGGTGATCCTGAAAGCAAAACTCAAGCTTCACACCCTTCACACCCACACCCTGGTGTCCCGCCCCGAAACAAAGTGGCGGGACCTCCTGCCACCTTTGGAGGGTGAGCAACCTCGGTGGGCCAGCCTGTATTCCACCTTGGTCCCGAGGCCCGTCGGGGACATTAGTTGGAGGCTCCTTCATGGGGAGGTGAGCACGGGCGTGTTTTTGACGCGTTTCACCCCCATCCTGGATACTTGCCCTTTTTGCAACGTGAGGGAAACCCTGGCGCACATATATTTAGAGTGTGCCAGATTGCAGCCCCTTTTTCGGCTCCTCACGAATATTTTATTACGTTTTTGGCTCCATTTTTCCCCTCACCTTTTTATCTATACACTCCCCATCCGTGGCCCCACAAAATCGCGAGATCTCCTGGTTAACCTCCTCCTAGCCCTAGCTAAAACAGCCATTTAGAAAACCAGAGAGGGGAGGTTGGCTAATGAAGCGTCCTGCGATTGTAGGGCCGTTTTCCGATCCTCAGTACATTCCCGTATCCGGGTGGAGTTCCTCTGGGCGGCGTCCACCGACTCCCTTGACGCCTTCGAGGAGCGGTGGGCGCTGTCCGAGGTTCTCTGCTCAGTGACCCCGTCTGGTTCCCTCCGTCTGACCCTTTGATTGAAGGGAAGAGCGAGAGACCCCAGCCCCAGCCGTTGCCGCTACGGATACCATCATCATTGTCACCTAGGAGGGGTCCTATAACACATGGGTGTAATCCCCCCCCCTCCAAACTGCCCACCCCGCTGCTGTTTCCATCTTGTCAGGCACTCTCAGGAGAGGAATAATTGGTGACACTGGGTGTGGCACTAGGTAACTCGAGGGGGTGGAAGACCACGAGTGTCGAGGAAGCCCCCCCCCGCTCTAGGCCATAACTCAGGAGGGTGGAAGACCACGAGTGTCAAGGAAGCCCCGCCGCTCTGGGCCCAGGTTAGCCTGAACACTTCTCCCTCCTGAAGGCTGCTGTGTTATACCTTCTGTTTGCTCTTGTTTTGTTGCATAGTTTTGCTTTATCCTTTTTGGTGATTCTTTGTAAGTGTTACACAAATAAAATTTTTTTCTGCTTCAAAAAAAAAAGTGTTATACAAATAAAATTCTTTTCTGCTTTAAAATAAATAAATTAATTAATTAAATAAATAAACAC